TTGTTTGAACACGTATAACAGAACTTTTCCTACAAATTTGTATAAACTACTAGTGCTTAAAAGTTTACTTTTATAGCTGTGGTTTGTTTACTTTGTAGGCATTAGGTTTCCGTTGTTCGACAAAAATTTCGCGAGATCTTTATTTGACTTGGCACTGTACTGGACTCAATAGTATCGGTATTCTCCGTTGCAAACATTTATTTGCTTTTGTAGGACCTTTTGTAAAAGATCTTACAAAGAAGTGCCTCTTCAAGAAATAACAATTAGCACATTGCGTAATCCCTTGCCATAATATTTTGTAGACTTTCCAATCCTTGTTGCAGTTTTTGTGTAGGAATTTTACATACCACTTTTGCAAGGTGGGAAACGAATTCTACAGTGTACTTTCCTTTGTAAGATATTTGTGAAACAGTAGGAGTCAGAGTTGTTGTTACGGCTTTTTTGTAAAGTCTTTGCAAAAGATCGTCTTAAGCAAAAAAAAAAAAAGTCTAACATATGAACACTTTCTACTCCCCTTCGTTAAAATTTGTTTAGGAACTGTAGGGAGTCGGGATTATTTGTGAACTTTTGTTAAGTTCTTACAACGAACTTTACTGGAAGTAAACAATAGTTACAATTGTAACTCCCTTTGCAACTATTTACTTGTAGAAATCATCCTAATACGGGGGTTGTTGAGGTTATGTGCAAGAATTTTGCAACGTCCGTTTTGTAAGTTGTAACAATGTATGAGTGTATTCTCCTTGCAAATATTTTTTGTGAAAGCAGTTGAGTCCCGGAATTATTGTACGGAGGTTTTCGAGGGACTTTCAACGTCAATTTTGCAATACAGATCAATTGCGGTGGAATTTCTGTGGATATCCTTGTAATAAACTTGTTTGATTTTAGGTTTTCCAAGAACTTGTACGGTTCTCGAATTTTGCAAGATTTTGCGACAATCATTGGTTATCCATTGCAATCGCCGGGTGTAACACCTTTGCAGGGACGTCGCCATCCCCGTGCAGGAACGGTAGTAAACTAGGGTAAAAACACTATTTGAAAGACTTCTACATACTCGCGTGCCATGTAGAATTATTATTCACGGCAAGTTTCAAGAGATGTACTATCCTTTCCTCAAGTTTGAAGGAAACATGCGAGGAAATCGAATCCTTGGTGACTTGAAGGGAAGGGTTTCCTCCCTTTTGTACGACGGGGTGTTACGGAACGGTCGGCGTCGTAACGGTAGTGTGTTGTCAGCCGGCAAGTGCCGTTTGTTGGCTAATACTGCCTCTTTATTTAGTACTTTGAATGCCACGGATAATTCGTACAATTTTGCCTATCAGCATTCAACGGTTCCACGAAACAAAACCTTGCAAGTAGTGATATATTAGTTTTTCTCTTTATACTTGCAATCAAAAATGACTTTACTAATTTATTTCAGTTGTAAAGTGTCTCGACACACCCCAGACAAGTTAAAATCTTTATACCAAACTTACCACTATCATCCTTGTCACTATCTACCAATTCCTGATTGCCAATATTATTTATCGTAGGTCGATCGCCCCTTGCAAGAGTGTGAAACCATGTGCAATGGATAACCAAAGATGTTCCAATTTCTTTGCAAAATTAGACTACAAGTTTCTTGGAAAATCCTACAACATAAACAAGGTTATTACAAGAATTCGCAAATTCCAATTGTATTCCTGCATTGCAAAAATTGACGTCTGTAAGTCTCCTACAAAACTCTACAAATAGACCTCGGACGTACACTATACAATGTTTCCACCTTGCAAACGGCCCGTTGTAAGATTCCTGCAACAAAACCTGCAACAACCTACTTGTATAATTTCTACAAGATATATTTTGCAGGGAGTTTACAGGGTACTATTGGTTTATTTCCTTGTAAACAAGGTTCGTGTAGACTTTCTACAAAAGTCCTACAATATCTCCGGACTCTACTGTCTTCTCACAAAATATATTTGATACTGGAAATTACATATTCAGTTGTTTCCACCACAGACGAGGTTGTAAGGTCCTACACAAACCTGCAACAACCCCATTGTGTATTTCTACAAGAACAATATCTTGTAAGGCAGTTGACAATGTACTATGGTTTCTTTCTTGTAAAACCTTCGTTGTAAACCTATTACCAACAAGTTCCCTCCCATATAAAAAAATATTTTACAATGGACATTACGTTTATAATTGTCCCAGTCTCCTGTCTCGCAGTCTAAATAAACATTCACGCGAAATTTTTTGTTGTTTCGACAAAAAACTTGAGATTAGAGTGAAAGCGCGCCTCAAAACGATAACTGAGATTTTGTCAACTGTTACATACACACAACCAATTCCTCTTGTGTCAGGAACACATACGAAAATAATAACAATGATAGTCGGTGTACACGTTGGTTTCCTAGGACCGTGGTATCATCGTTCATTCAGTCTATCGAATGAGGACGACTTAAAATAAAGATCCCAGACCCAACCCAATTAAGTGGCAATTTTACGACGCGTCAGACAATGGATTTCTAATTCTAAACAGGCATAAACCCGCTCGAGCTGACTACGACTACAGTAACAGAATAGTCTTTGCACCGATCTATTTGGTAAACCGGGAGACTGTAAATGTATTTACCATATCACATATAGCCGTTCACTGGAAGGATTTTTTCACCACCGCAAGGGTAAATACATTTTTATTCAAACACATTGGTTCTACCAAAGGTTTAGATAATCGATTGTTGATCTTAGAAATCCGCACTTATGCTTCATGTTTCCCAGTTGTCCAGTACACCACCGACGTGTCTAGGGGGAGTCGGAGTTCTGAGAAATAGAAGTATACGTTTTGAAAATAGAGTTTGAACGGGATGTTCCTTTATCACGACGAACCCCACTAAAATTAACCCAACTTGACCCAATTGGAAGACACAGTCTCCTAAAATTTTATGGGACACATGGGAGAAACATTATAATGAGTCTAATATCTATAAGGATGAGCGGGTTTATAATTCAAGGGGTTTATTTAGCGAGGAATTTACTAGATTAAAAATTGTTTACAAGGTGTATTATAGTAGGACACCTCATAAAAGATTTCACTACACTCACGGTGACACAACACGGGTGTTAATCCCTGTGCATTCGTCAGGTTTTCCAATTTGCTAGCTATAGTAGCGATTTTTCTACTGTTTTTGTGAAACACCTCGTCCCAACACCATGTATAGACAAACTAAAAACTAACCCCATTTTGCTGACACCCCCCACGACTATATTTCCCCATCTTTGACGTACCAGAATAAAATAGAACCAAAATACCTTTAATATCTAATCTGTACGTGGAGACGCATGTAAATCTCACTTCCTGCTCTGTTAGGAACCAAAAGACGACTTGCCAGGTCAGAGGAAGTACTCTCTTTGTTACGGACCCGTTCGGATCCTTTAGTCCGGGTCTCCATTCTTACCGATGCGAAATCCGTCGATTCCTTTTGAAGTGTATGCGTTATTTTCACGATCAGTTTCATGATAAACAGTAAATGGTGTCTTTTGAATTTATTAGGATCTTTAAAACCTTTCGGTATTTTTGCTAAAAGGTGACCCTTATAGGGTTTTAGCTCGAATGGCAGGGCACGAGTGGTGTCATAGCCGTAATATAGTCTGTTCCCGATGATACGATTTAACGAAATTTTTCGTTAAAACACAGAACACCGAGAGCAAACTAAGACGTGACTGACACGAAAGACGAAGACACTTGTGAGGTTAGGGACTGAGACTTGTTACACCAGACTTTTGGGAAAGTCAAAATGGGAAAATGACACCACAAACAAGTACTTCGTAATGGTTCAATCTAGGATCCTTTGGCGACCGGGCCTGTTGCATCTGGGAAGGAAAAATTTCTATCGCGTCTAAAATCACGAGGTAGCGATGAAGAGAAAAATGGAGAGGGAGTCGTGTTTATGTTAAGGTTTTCATACCTCAGACCGAATACAGAACGGACATGACTTTCCTCCCCTCCCGTTCGATAAAAATTTATTGATTATTCCGGTAGAGATTTACATTGTCAAGACCGGATTTCAATGAGTTTGCTGTCACCTCACTCGTTCATTTCCTCAAAAATTCATTTTTTACTAAGGACAGTTATTGTAGTCAGTCTCGAAAGTCTTTCTTGGTATAAGTTTCGTGCGTAGTGACCGCTGTTATTTTCAACCACCTAGAAATAAATCTGACGTTGACCATGACCATGTTAATATTTGCCATAATAGCAACGTTTTATAAAAAAAGAATAACATCCTGAAAACATTTTCAGAATGTTTCTTGGAGAATTTTCTTCAATTGTTATCATGTAACATTGAGGGAACGTTTTATAAAGAACATCTTTAATGTGTTACCCAACAACGTCCAAAACACATCCTTAGAATGTTGCAGGCAAAAAGTTCCACCTTTGTTAACATATCACATTAAAGGAACATTTTATAAAACACTTTCTGTCATCTCAGGCCTCAATAACATCCTGAAAACATTTTCAGAATGTTTCTTGGAGAATGTTATTCATTTGTTATCATGTAACATTGAGCGAACATTTTATACAACCCTTTCTCTCATCTCAGGCCTCAATAACATCCTGAAAACAATTTCAGAATGTTGCTTTGAAAATGTTCTTCATTTGTTATCATGTAACATTGAGGGAACGTTTTATAAAGAACATCTTTAATGTGATACCCAACAACGTCCAAAACACATCCTTAGAATGTTGCAGGCAAAACGTTCCACCTTTGTTAACATATTATATTAAAGGAACGTTTTATAAAAAAACTTTCTGTCATCTCAGGCCTTAATAACATCCTCAAAACATCCTCTGAATGTTGCAGTTAAAACGTTATGTCTTAGTTAACCTTAAACCTTATAGGAACATTATTTGAACAAATAAACATCCTAAAAAGGTTCTTTGAACATCAGATTAAAACGTTTCTTTAAAACCTTGTTAGAACCAATAGGTAACGTTAGCCAAAGTTGTGAGAACGTTCCCCGCTAGCTGGGATGCCACCAGCTACGACAGCAATATATAATAAGAGTTATAGATGCAGGTTTTTTTTCACTTTTGAAGTAACATACCACTATACTGGTGTCAAAGAAAGGTATAGGGTTAAAAGGTCTGTAATGATTTGGCTAGCTAGCTAATAGGAGCGATTGTCACTTTCAGCACACTAGCCATGTGAGATTTGTTCACAGTGCACAACACAGTGCACAACATGGTACTAAGGAAATTCCCGAATTGCGACACAGTTTTAGAGGCATTTTCAAACAGCACGTGGCTGCTGCCCCCGTGAACCACAGCAACAAAATAATACAGGAGATGGTTTCACTCCCTCAGTCCACCAACATAGAACAGAGAGCAATGACTCCTCAGTATTTGCTCATTCAGGTATGTGTGTGTTAGTGTGTGTGTGGAGACTAAATCCCACCTTGACCACAGTGAGCAGGCCTTCGTTGGTGGTGGGGTCAGTGGGGATGGAGAAGCGCCCGGTGGGGTCTCCGGCGATGATGCGGTACACAGCAGCCCAGGCTGTGGTGTGAGGCTGGTCCTTATCTGTCACCGTCAGGTTCGCTACGATCACATTCACTCGGTTCTCATGAACTTCCCCAAAGAACTGGAAGACAGACAGAAATACATACATTGAATCCTTAGTATAATGACCCTTAAGTTATGTGACCAAAGATTCTTATTAGAGAACTAACTGCTTTTGTTTCACACTTTCTTCTTCTTCCACCTTGACTGAGGAGGCTAAACACGTTGGACGTTTCATTGGCTTTTGACTTTTCCGCCATCTGCCACTGCTAATAAAAGCTTGGAGGGCTTCAGGGAGTATCAGTGTTGATGCCGTGCGTGGACCTACTGTGTCTGTGGTGAACTCGGGGGGGTTGTCGTTGACATCAGTGACCCTGATGACAGTGGTGGCGGTGTTGGACAGGCCGTAGGTGGGGTTCCCCTCCATGTCTGTCGCCTGGATGATCAGTGTGTACTGGGTGACTTTCTGGAAACAAACAGAGAGACCTCAGATTCTTTCTACCTTCTTTATCATAATATTATTATTTTTAGTGTAACATATATTACAAATGTTGAGTATTATAGCGCACATTATATTTACATGTCGATCTAATTAACAATATTCAACAATAGTGGAATCTCTTTCTGCCAAAGCACCATTATTGCTTTATACTGCTTAACAATAGCATTCAGATAGCTGATGACAGGATCTGCACAGCTCCTTTAACAATTGACGAAACCTATTATTTAATTGTATACTCTACCAATGAGTCATAGACTTTTGAGTAAGAAATTGAACGTTTTAGACTTAGTGTTAAAGGTCCCATGTCATGCTTTTCCGGTTATTACCCGTCCCCTTGTGTGTTATGAAGGTTTTTTATTTTCCTCCCCCTCTTCTGACAGCCCAGCAGCTGATCTCTGAGCAGGAGACGTGGGGAGAGGGAGTCGGGGCTATTTCATCGTTGTCAGAAAATAATCGTATAGAGGCGTACACACGGAGCCGTTTGCCCCCACAGATCTATCCACCTTGGGACCCGTTATTGTTTGCGGGGTCCGTTTCTATCGTTTTGTTACAGCCTCATGTAAACGAAAGGGTTATACGCAAGAGAAACTATGCAGATAAAACCCGTATCGTCCTCGTGTAAACAGGGTCTAAGTTCTGATGAACCTTTGTGGGAAAAGTACTGCGGTGTGAAAGTGCCTCATGACAACTATCAAACTCTATCTGCAGAATAAGACATTGGGATGTAGTTGACATCTCAAGCAAACAATGGTGAGTTGACTCAGTGTATTTAGCAAAAATAAGAGGAAATTACTCCTTGTGGATAAGTGGGTACAATGTTTGATGAATATATACACAGCTGACCTGTTTCAAAGTGTGTCAGCATGTAAACATTTATTAGATTGAAGTTTAGGATCAGCTGATGCCAGAATATGTACCAAAAACACGAGCTGTGTTTACACTAGGGATGTAACGATATACCAAATATCGCGGTATCGCGGTAAATAAACTTCCCAATACCGTCGTGAGACTGACAAAATCTACCGCGATTTAAAAAAAAAAAAAAAAAATTTAAATTTTTTTTTTTTTTTTAAACACTTTTTTTTTTTAAACCTTTATTTAACCAGGTGGTCCCATTGAGATCATCGATCTCTTTTTCAATAGAGACCTGTCCAACATGGCAGCAAGTAGGTTACAACATGAAAATAAAACAACAGATAACACAAAAGGACATCGTATTTACAGGGCCACATTTACACACCTAGAGACATGTACCAACCATATATTTATATCTTGCCATGTCAATAAGCCTGGCGTTAGACTTTTTCGCTGTCCGTCATTTTGACAGACAGGATCGTAAAATATCCGTCATAATCCCTTATTACCCGTCGGGTCTGAACAGTTCACGATAGAGCATGCTCGTGAACTGTCAACGGGGGGGGGGCGGTGTTATGCCGTGTGTGCATGCACCTCGCGGGACGCGCACAGCGTAAAGCAAAACTTCCCAGACATGTATTGATCTGTACGGCAAAGTACGGTTTGGAAACTATATAATTTCCTTTTGGAGGGCATGCATAACACGGCATAACACCAGAGCCTGGCTGTGGGGAAACGTTGGCGCTATTCCGAGTTTGTTCTAATCTGTCAAAATGACAGACTGCTTTCAGATTTTTCCTTCATTGTTAAATAAAATATTCGGTTAACGCGACCACTGGTGTCCCAGCAACATCAGTACCAAGCGAGAGAGTTTTTTCCAGAGCAGGGGATATTGTAAATGCCCAAACATCCCAGTTTATAAATACCTGGAAATGTGGACATTCTCATATTCCTAAAAACCTGTCTGATAATGCTCATCAGAAACTTCTGTTTTCTTTATTAATTTGACGTAGGGTTTTTTTTACCAAACGAGGTCGATAGTAGTGTGTTTTCGCGTCCCCCCCCCGGTGCGTGAACGGCTCAAATAATTAACCTCCTAGCAATATCAAACAACTTCTATTTTCTGTTCCTGAGTAACTTTGGGTTATTGTGAATAAGTTTAGTTACTAAAACAAAACCGTCAAAAAATAAAATCCAACTACCTGCAGTATTGTGTTACTGTCTGTAAGTTTCGAAACTAAAGTTTTCGAGTTATCGTTCGCAGTTTAGTTTTTATTACTGGAAATCATCAGGGCTCATCCAAAAGTAATGAGAACTCGAAACAAAGAAAACCGTCTCGAACTTAACTTAATAAAATTATTAGGGTTAAGACACAACCTAAATTTTCCGATTCTAAAAGTACAAGGTCTTTTGGATGTGAACTTTCGAAACACGTATACTATTTAATTCGACACCCTAACTAGTGTTATCGTATCTCGAAGTATCGGTTTCGGATGAATGTACCTTTCCTGACAATATATCAGGAACCCCTTAGTCTATAAACATAAAGTGGGTGTTCATGGAGTGCTATAAGAAACGCTACCATGCAGCATTTTACAATTTTTCATCTACAAAATGGTCTCCTGTTGAGGACGAAACTAACATTAACTGGTAAATTGGGTGGTCGTCCAGGTTTATGAACGAACGACACTACTCGGGTTTATGGGACTACGTTATGGACCGGTGTACAATGACTGTACGGGTATTATTGACACGACTATACGATGTAGTCGGTTTTGCATATCATTTGGCAATGTATAAACAATCGTAACATTCGGTGTAGGAGCGTCAAACACGACCAGACAATTCATGGCATAAACCATGACATGACATTACACATCATCCCTACGAATTAACTACCTTGTAGAATTAGACAGCTAGGGTTCAAGATACAAAACACGCACACACACACACACCGCACGTCAACGCTCGGGTGCGACACCTGGACTTACCCTTAGTCCACCTCTTGGGGTAACTGTGCAGTAATTGCAGTAGCTGGTCTTGCCTGTTTGTCTGGTCTCAAGTGTGTGTGGTAGAAGTTGCCCGTGGCAATTGGCTCCCTAAGGTTCGGACACCATCGTCTGTCGTGTGGTGTGTGTGTGTGTCGTGTGTGTGTGTGTGTGTGTGTTTGTGTGTGTGTGTGTGTGTGTCGTGTGTGTGGTGTGTGTGTGTGTGTCGGTTGTGTGTGTGTAGTGTGTGTGTTGTGTGAGAGAGGGAGGAGCCGACTACATATAGACACACTGAAACGAACGCACAAAGGGACGTCTCTAGAAAACACTACTGTCACTGTAGCACCTGTTCCCTACTAGGTTTTTTAACGGTTACCTACGACGCTATATTCTAGGAGAGGGTCTTTAGGGGTCTCGGGGAGGTGGTTGTACAAGTGGTAATTGTTGGTCTGGCCACTGTAGTAGTGACACCGGCGTCGGAGCTAGCCCTCCACACACACCACAGACACACACACACACACACCAAAAAACCACCTCGTGACGAAGAAGTCGGACTCAGACACACAGGGACGGTCACATTTGATCCCTACATTGCTATGGGTTTCTTGAGTGCATGCTATTTATAGCGCTATTGTTCAGGTGCCACTGCCATAAATAGCGCTATAACACTTATTAATTTCCCTTTCTTTTTTTTTTAAGTATTAAAAGAAAAGTTATTTTGTAAAAAATGAGCCTTTTACAAAAAAATAATGTATTATTTAGACTAAAAAACATCCTATCGTCATAAAATTTCACAGTTTTTGTTTCACTGTCATTGTCTGACCTTGTTCTTTTGGTCACAAAACATGGATGGTCATGATGGTTTGTTTCATTCGTAAAAGACGTAGAGTAGTTGTTATTTGTTCCTGTAAATTATTAGTCTGGGACGTTATTTATTTAGTTCAAAGTGAATCCAAAAAGTTCATTGGAGTTGAGTTTGAGTGATC